AGTGAATATGTGATTATTATAAAATATTGTTCTATACTACACAGCACACACAATATGAAATCAAAACGTAAGTACAATATAATTATTATTGTGGACAATCTACATGCGCACAATTATAGTCATTATAAATAACAGACAAACGTCTTATATTATATATTATAAATTATAATAACATCATAAAATCGACAAAACTCAGCCTTGAATATTATATTATTTAAGTAGCGCTAATGAGGAGAACTTAAAATCGTGTTCCTACCTATGAAGATTTCAGGACCGAAATAAAATATATTATTCTATATTATAACGTCGGAAAATTTTGTATAAATTATGACGTATCGTCACGGTAGCAATCCAAATGCGAGAAACGCGCGAGTTTCTTTACAACATTTAATATACCCGCGTACGATATTCGTAGAAATAAAATTCAAAAATTATTACATAACCGCCTTAAATCATCAGTATGAATAGGTGTACTACACGTCTACACGGGTTTTAAGGAGTACGACGGAACACATATTTTTGCAAATTATTACATTATGTATACTTGCCGAGTAACAACAAAATTAAATAGCTACCAGCCACACCGAAAAGCACTGCAGACGACGGCGGCGTGAAACCTGTTTATATAGTATTATACATGTATAGTGTATAATATAGTTTCCTTTTGGCAATGGTTAATGATAATGACAATCCAACAACACGCGGCTACTACAATAATAATAATAATAATATTATAACGTCCTCCTAAGTTGCATTATTATTGTTATTATTTGTATGTAAATCGAACGCAGACGAACGCTATATTATATTATGCACTCCGTCCTATTAGTGGATACAACTACAACAACTGTCTTAAGGCGATGTACGAAATAATAATAGATATTATAATATTATAAATAATATTATACTGCAGACCGGTGCGAGTATAAGGACGAATATTATGAGTTTCGAAAACACATTAATATGCGCTCAACCCGACGATTAAATCACGAAATATATACACCAACATTGAGTACCACAATATTATGACGTGCTGTAATTATTTTTAAATGTAACGGCTAATTAAATTTTTAGATATTTTGATTCGTTCGTTATTAATAAAATACACCTACGGGATAGCGACTAGATTAGATTTTTGTACATCGAAATCCCTTCAGAACAATTTTATGGAACGCGAAATTAAGGATGTACCTAAAATGAGTTGTTGTTTAAAAATCATTTTAAAAAAAAAAACTCAAAAAGACTACCATAAATAGTAGCAATTTTAAAATATGTATTATCGTGTTTATTTGTCACATAGGTTCGAATGGCTCGTGTATACACGAAGATGGTTCAATTAACATTTATTATTTTAGCGTTGGTCGAAACCGATTTAAAATCCCGTCACATAAATCGAAATCGATTAAAATACAATGTTGTCTTTGCACGGCAAACGCGTGTTACAGTGCAAATTATTGAAAGATTTGAAAATCTTCGATCAATACATATTTTATGTTGTAAATGTCTATATTATATAAAGGGAAAAACATAAGCGAGTCGTGTAGTTGGAAATGTTAGCTGCGCCTACACGGTTCAAAGAAATAAATGTTGAAAATGTTTAAACCGGTTGTAATAAATATAACGATTTTTGGCTGAATTTCAAATATCAGACCAGTTTTTTTTAGCACGATACGTCTTGCGCGCAGTACTCAAGTACCTACCTATTATAGCTGGTATACTATTTATAGTTCTAATTTTCGAAGTAGATTAAATGTTCAATTTTGACACAAATAACCGTACAGATATAATATATTATTTCATGAACTAAAAAGTGAAAAATAAAACTATAGTAATATTACTAGAATAGTTATTTAATAAAAGTCAAAGAATGACGTACATTTATTTTTTCAGTTTTTTCGAAAAAATTCGCAAAATTAAAACGTTGATTAACAAAAATTAATTTACAATAATTTGAGAGTATTTTTATTACTTAATTGGTTGATATAAAACCAGTATCAATGTTTTTTAATAGCACGCGTTCTATAATATAATAATATTATAGTACCTTTGCACAGCATTCATCGTAATAATATGTTTTACCGTTACCTATTATATACTGTAATTAATTGTGTACCTATACAATTTGAAGTTAATTCTTCAACTCCTTAACGTGAGGGGATGAAATACTCAAACTAACAATGATGGACTATGTAATATTGTAGGGAACATTTTCAATTTTCATTGTTGATCTTGAAAAATACTGCGAATCTGGTTATAATATTATCGTGTACCTACCTGTATAGCTACCGGAAACGAGCTGTATTTTCAATTCTCGTGGGACTTAATGTGTGTTTGAGAGAAAGAGAGAGACGGAAAAAAGCTAGTGTAAAAAAGCGCACATATATTATTATTATAATGTTAAATTTATTTATAATACAGCGGTTTCGTGTAGTTTAATGATAACGACCGACGAAACCGGAGTATGCGTCTAACGGGAAAATTCGTCGAGCACCATCTCGGATTACTACTGGTTTGCAGGCACAATAAATATTCTTAAGGCGCCTCCGCCGTCTCCCGCGGTAATTTAGGCCTTCCCGAAATTGCACCTCTTGGCACAAGAGTCGCATAGCTCGACAAAAATCTCCCCATCAGATAGTTTCTATAGATCGTAACAAAATATCTACACCGCGATATTAATATTATGTAAGTTTAAAAGTTATAACAGTTTTCAATCGAAACTTTTAGTGATATTTGAAAAGATTCTCGAACTGAATATACCGACTCGATTGAATGAAACTTGAATTGAAAAACTTTACAATACCTGATATAAAATTTCAAAGACGCTCATTACAGCTATCCAGTTAGTTAATAGAATAATGGAAAATTATATCATGAACTATATTATGCCGAGTTGCAAAATATTGAAATAAACTATTAGTATTTTTTTAATCCATTTCTGCAAGACATTATAATGATCTATATAATATACAGTTGCTTAGTATATTTATTATTTTCTATCTAATATTTTTTAGTTTATTGCATATTAAAAAGCTCATGTTTTGAGTATTTTACCTACCCTCAATATTAGGAATGCAACAGTTATTGGTAATAACGATAATTTGAAGGGTGCGCGAGCATAAATAATTGTTTACAGCGATCTTTTCCCGCATCCATCATAATAATATCAAGTGCTTGAAAAAATACTAGAACCGTTTACGGATTTTTTTTTTAAGTATAGGTACCTCTAAATGTGAGTTCATAAGAACGACCGATATTTCAGTCGGTTTATAATTATATGCATTTAGACTTTTGATATTAATTATGCAGTTAATTCGGTGCAGTTTATATAGGTCGTTAGATACAGTATATTCGTTCGTGGCCGGGTCATTGCATTGATATTCACGGTCTCTAATTCGTTGTTATTCATTATAATATTATATTATTATACGATATACAATGTAACATAAAGTATCTCAGTTCCCACTTTCCCAGTAAGTATATTATAATAATATGACTATACCTACATGTATATATTTTATACGCGCGACGGGTCAATCGATATTCTGCAAGCGCATGCTGCAACGGCGATTATATATATTATTATAATGACGTTTTGCACACAGTCATATACATACAATATACCTCTATATAATAAAACATTATACGCACATCATCATAGTCATATATCGTATCCACCGCACGTCTGGTCGGCGGGCCTCGATGTAGACGTCAACGGGGGCTCCCACAACTGTGTATACATATGTGATATGTGTATATTATATATATATATATATATATCGTCCGCAGTCGTGTGATCGGATTATTATATTATATAGATAGACCAATATATATATATGAGAATAGTATATTATATATCCATTATGTTCCCACATCATCGCGGCGGCCGCGGTGGTGACCCACTGACACGACACAATTATTACAATTATGTTAATATTATGAACCGCGATCGGTGCCTACGATATACTGTTTATTATTAAAATATATAATACATCCGCGAACCACGCGTGGAGAGAGCACATGTGTTATTATATTATATCGTCGATGTATAGTTATACGACTTGGCGAGGACCACTGTGAGGATATCCTACGACCATTTGGTATAATATATACATAGTCCGCGGCGGACCCTTTAGGTATACCGCGGTATAATAATATGATATTCGTCGCTTATAAGACGACATCGTGTGAAGATCGAATCCGCGAAACCTCGATCGGATCGTCTGAGGCTGCAAGGTCGACACGCCGCAGCAGAAGACCGCGGTCTACAATCGGCGTAATAATAATAATTGTATGGGCCGTATGTACTATATAATATTATATTATAGTCGTCTCTCGGCGGGACGCGCACGCTGACATTTTTTTTTTCAAGAAATTTTTTCGTCCGCAAATCTTCAATTTGTCCGAGAAACGGGGACGACCACACTCGCGTGCGTGAGTTTTCGTTTGAAATGCATCGCACCGCGACCAAATAATTATCGTCAAAACTGGTTCACAGACGGCGTGTCCTCGTACACATATAGATTATACACTCTTCGGATGATAATATAGCCATATCCGATTACTGCACCGGCCCAGACGGACGTATGGGTGTCACATCGCCGCGGCTAAGACGTCATCTCGTCCTCTAGTAATAACGTGTCGATAATAATATCCGCACTCGTACAATGCAATACAATGCACTATTCGTATTGTTTCCGGCAACGTGTATATAATACATGAGCAGCCGCCGCCGCCGCGTGCCCGAGATTTCGTCGATTTCGCCGATATTCGTATACCTACAACACACGGTCGCGTGTAGTGTAATATAGGTGATGCCGTAATGGTATATCCTGCGTTGGTATAAGTGGTTAGAGGCGGTGCAGGTTTCTACACCAGCACACGGCTCGCAGATAAAGTGTACTAGTGCTTTTCAATGTATTTAATGTCGAAGTGAATCGCGACCAAAATGCAGCGTGATCAAAATTCGACGTGAAACCAACTATATACCACTATTATAAATACTATATAAGCTCCGATTTGATGACGTGAAACGAAACTTGAAATCGTCGTAGGGTTTTGGCTAAACGAGGACGGAAGATCGTATTTTTTCCTAAACGAATCTCGCCGAGAACCGCGGCCAAATGTTTTTCAGCCCGTGCTGCTGCAGTGCAGTTCAAATCGTTGAAATTGGTTTCCGGTAAGACTGAGACACGGTAATGATGCGATATAATACAACAATATAAATTGTTTTTATTTGAGGAATATACGCGTAATTCGCGAGCTTCAGAGCGGTCCTCGACGAAGGGTCTGCGGTCGATCGATAACGGTGCACACGTGTTCCGAGCGGACCGGTTGAGGTGACGGCTCATCGTGGAGACAACCAGTTTTTTTACTCGTTCGCTTGGTCAGCCATTTTCACCGTCCGACGACATACGACGCACACACAGTTTTAGCGAAGACACGACTTGAATAATAATTTCAAGGGGAAAAAGAAAAACTCGTATGCCCGCACTCTGACGGCCGAGCTAAACTTATACATTTTCATATAATTTATTATGTATAAAATATAAATATATTGTAACGATGTGTAACACTTATTACGCGTAGGTAGCAGTTATAATATTATATTCATTTTACATAATTTTAATTATTATTTATTGTTATTTTTTTTATAACTTATAAACATATACACATAGGCATAAACCCTACAGTATAACCTAGGTGCGCTTCTACAGAACGATCTATATAGATTCTAATTATTCTTCAAATTCTGTAAAAAAAATGCTGTCAAAACACATATACAAAGAAAGAAAATCACAGTTTGTTGAGTGATCAAAAAAATCCTCTAGTTGTCATAGCAGTAAAATATCGGTCGTTCTTATCGTGATATATAACTGTTGAACTGACAAGTGACTTGAACTGTATAACATACATTTATATACGATAAAAGGCTGAGCTCCATGACACATTCGGCTTCAGTAAAGCCTATATTATATACACATGCGGGCCACCTTTTTTGGAAAATTTGGCAGAATTTTGCGATGTTGGGGTGAAGTACGTTACAAGGCCGTGGAGGTTGCAGCTTGTGCTGTACAACATTCAAAACTGCACAACGTAATAAAATAATAAATAATAATAATGGCGATGACAACGATAAAACGCCGATAAAAACTTATATTTTCGTGGGATTACGTCAGCCCTGCCCGGCCACCGCGGTGTAATATCATTAATGACTAATAATGGCAGAATGTAATTATTAATATTTTCGGAGACGCGCATGTACGCGCATATATTATATGTATTTTATTATTACAGGTACTGTAGTATTTTAGACGCGAGTCTTATACCTAGGTATACCAAAGTCGTGACCGTACGCGCGAAACGAGCGAGGCTGATCGTGTCTCGTCGCGTATTATTCATCCGCTTCCTATAGCTTAGATACCGGACGACGATAGTATAGTTACACAGACAGCGCTGTTCATGTGTTCACTGAAGATATATTATAAAATACACGATCGGAAAATTTTAGACGTCTGCAGTGCAAGTGCGAATATAATATATATGCGGTGCAGAGCAAGGCCGATGACGGTCGAGAAAAAGATAATAATAATAATATTATTTCTAATATATTATGTATTATAATACATTTATAACTGTTAAGACGAATCGTTATTACTATATTATAATCGTCTACGATGAAATTATTGTATGTTATAATATGATGGTCGTGCTCTGCATCCGTGTCCGGCCAACAGTAGGTACCACAATACATTTTTAGGGATAGGGCAGTCGTGTGTCCATATTATATCGTTTGCTCGGAACACAATACTCGACAATAACTATTTTTTTAACCAAACTAAAAATATCATATGAAAATAATTAATTAATCAGTCGTTCTTATTTATGAAAATATTAATTTGATAATATATAAAACGTAGTTAAAAACCTGATTTTTTAAAAATAATCGTTAGGTATTTATCTTAACGATTCAGAATTAAAAAAATTCGTTTTAAGGTTAAAAAAATCTCAGCCAAGCCTAGTCCGTTGCGTTAGCTTATAATAATACTAGAAAAAACCCCTCCAGTACTCGTGTGGCTTTAATGGACAGTAACACTGCTTAATACAATAATTTACGTCTCCATAGTCCGCGATCCGATCGACCGGCACAAACGATCGAGATCCACGATGGTACCTATAATAGGCAGAGTATAGTACCTATAATATCGCTTTCGTGTTTCGGATAGGACATTACATTATAAGAAGAAAAAACTGCATCACGACGAGATCGTAAAAAAAAAAAAACTGGAAGAAAAAACACACATCGCGCATAATAATATACCACGGTCGTGTGTATATATATAATATTGTCATCGTAAAATCATTTGCTTGTTTTATGGACAACGAGCCCGACGACGCGTTGAGAGTGTCGTATATTACAACAGCAATAATAATAATAATAATAATAATAATATAGTCTCGCGCGTATAATATACTATCCTGTGTATCGTTATCGTCTCTCCTTCCCCGGCCCTGCCCGGTCGAAAACAAATATTATACGCTTTCAAACGCGCCGAACGCTTCTATATAGACAATATATTATATACAGTCGATATATGCAAACACAAATAATAATAATAATATTATAACACCCATCGTGAGTGTGCTGCAGGTAATATGCGTTTTTTTCCTACCGTGTTTGCGTTTCCCTCGCCCTCGAATGGAACGCGGCGGCGGCCGATTATCATTTACCGACACTTGCCGTCGTCATCTCACGTCTTCCTGTTCGACTCCGGGACACCGCGGAGAACACCGAATATAAACGAACGACAGGTTGCCACTTGGCAGAAATTCGAGTCGGGCATTTAAGTACCACAGTTTACAAACCCGTGTGGGGCCCCGCCGATTTTTCATATTATATGGGATAGGTATTATACCTACACATCATTTTAAACTGATCGCTCAGACTGCAGATACTGTTTTCTCGAAAAATAATAGTATAAAAAATATCAAGCCGAATGTAGGTACCTCTACTGCTGTTATATAATATGTTATCATCTGGTTATCATATTTTTTTGAATTTTATCACCATAGAAATACATTCAATGTTTTTTTTTTTTTTTTTAACCTATCAATAAATATGATATTTATTATGAAACATAGTTTTAAGGAAAAGGTGAGCACTATAGATTATCCATTTCGTACAGGTTAGCTATAATGCTGCGTCTACAATAACGTTATTAAATAACGTTTTCATAAAAGTTTTTCACAAACTCGATCGTCTAGGTATATTATAATATTATGAAGTAATAAATCCAGAGGATAAAAAGAGCATTTTTAAGTCATAACATAACTGCAATTGTTATCCTATATATTATACACTCCGTATAGGTGGTACGCATTAAACTGTTTAATGAATGCAAAATGTGAATCACGTCTAACCATCACGTCTACACCTTTATGTGGGTATGTGAAGCCGGATATTTGCTAAATTATTTGCGCTGCTCGGGTTTTCTTATGTATATTTTTTGTGAGTATGTGTGTGTGTGTATAGTGACGAGCAATTTGCATCGTAATGTACCGATTCAAATAATGACCGGTAGAAGGCACGCGGAAATTATGATTTTTTTTTTTATTCTTTTCACGATAACATAATAATAATACGTACACGACGAGTGGATTTTGAAAAGCTGACAGGTCGACGACTATACCGCGGTGGATGTACATATAACACATACCTACCACCTATACCGAAACGATTGTTGTACACGCGCGTTCAATTCTCACGGCGGCGCACAACTACGCTGCGTAGTCGGTCGTTTACTGCAAAGTTAAGGTCGAGTGTGTATATACATCGTTGGACCGCATACTATTATTATACACGTGCAACAATAATATAATATATTATATTCCGGACGGGCGCATAGGGATTCGAAAATCTAAAGCCCCCTTTTCGCGGTCATTAGCGAGATTTCAGGACAACAAAATAATAGTACCCGGCGGACAAATCAATTTTGAACCCATTCTACTAAAACGGGGGATGTATATTGACGACCTTTAACCGCGCACGAGCGCACCAAAGGTCACGGATGGGGGACCACAGTTCGCCAATATATATATATATATAGGTATATACTCTGCTGGAAAGGGCGATCACCATTAATCATCGACTCGAGGGGACACGCTATACCGTGTAAAGTATCGTCGTACTACCAACGATCCCCAAGTCGGGGGGTGTGAGCGACTGCCGGATTATCGAACGAAACGGAAAATTAACAAGATTGTGTCGTGGGACACTATGACGTGTGGTTTTTTTTCGTACCCATATGCTATTAATTATAATATATAAATATATATTATCGCTATTATATATATAATATTATACCGCAGTTGTGTAATATTATAATGACAGAATTGCGAGGCCCGTGATCGACGCCACTTGTTGCGATTCGTAATCAACACCGGTGAAACGGAACTCGGACTGCATAATTGGGAGTACAATTAAATATTGCTATAATATGTATTATACCTATTGCATTTGACTTTTGAGAGGTTCGGATAACAATTATTAATATTATTACTCTTGAAGCGATTTAAAGACAATATTAATTATCTTGGATATAATCCCGTGGAATTTGTCAAGGTAACTTGCAGGTCCTATGTAAAGTTATTTCGGGGTCACAGAGTTACATGCTTTATGTCAATCACTTATAGAACAAGAAAACCTATAGCTTCAACACGTGTAGTGTAGCTTTTCTCCGAGAAAGCACCGCCATGCTGCTGATATTATACACAATCGACCGACCACACGATGCGATTCAGCCACATAGTGTAGTTATTTGAAGGATATTTCTGAATTAATTTTACGACAAGTAGTGTTAATTAAAAGGTAAATAATTTCTAGAAGTTTTATGACCGCGTCGTATAATTTTAATAATAATATCTTCTTAAAATAACGATTGTACCGTGAGATAATCATCCGTTATAAAATAAGTAGCATGACCTGTAATTATCATCACCATATAGTATAAACCAGTCTTCTCGACGTGTCACTTAATTTATGTTATAGAATAATAACGTAGGTACCTACACGGCTATTATAATACGCGTCGACTACTCTTATTGTTCCCTTCAAAGTTAAATAATAAACTAAACGATACGATACAGCGATAACATTATTATTAGATATGTCCAATCAGCTCGTCTGCCTGCCGACAACTATACACACGTTTGTAAACAGTAATAAAAACTACGGTTTGCGTTTAGAATGTTTGGTCTATGCAAAATATATAATATGATGCTGTCCGTCGTGATTTTGATTTGTCATTTCTGAATAATATATTTTAGTTAAACGATGGTCGGCACAATTTAT